AGAGAGAGAGAGAGAGAGAGAGAGAGAGAGAGAGAGAGAGAGAGAGAGAGAGGTGGGGTTGGGGGGAAGGGTGCCCACAACATTCACTGACAGCTGATAGCAAAAGAGACCAGTCCAGATCATCCGCAGTGCAAAGCTTTGGAAAACGAAAGGCTTGCTATGCTTTATAACTGGATACGGATTGCAAACAGAATTGGATAACAATCTACAGAATATCCAAAAGACAGGACATCAAAATAGATTCCACTGGAAACCACAACAACCTGCAAAACCTGCCTTGTCATGCCTGATGTTTGCTGACCTTTTGTTAAGCTCTGCAGGAAATGAAGGGGAACAATTGCATAAAGTTTCAAAAACTTCCATAAACTATATTAAGCAGAAAGGTGCTGGGAGTTCAAGCCCATACTTGACAACCGGCCTGCCTGTCCTCTCCACGTAGTGCAGGATGAAGAATTCTTGCAAAATCACAAACCCCCCACCTTGTTTCTTTCACTACTCCTTCCACACCCATACACAATCTCTCAAGAGTCGAGATGATGAAACAGTAAGGGTGGTGAAGAACTCCCAGGGTTCCTTGTTTGGACAGAGGGATGCACTTACAGCGAGGCAGCTCGCATCCGCCGATGGGACAAACATAGATGGAATGTACAAGTGAAAGCCAATGCTTAGGCATCTTTGATCTGCCACAGCCAACCAATAGGCATTAACAAGAAGCTCACGACTGTAAACTGTTAGGCTAACGGCCTCAGCTCCGCCAAACCAGTTGACGAAGAGAAACAAACAGACAACAGCCAGCAGCCAACACAACTGTTTGCTGTTGCATGCAGGATGATTCAAGCATGTCCCGCAAATGAGGAGTTTCCTGAACGGGACTGCAAATCCACGAATGATGGTTCGAATCCGTCCTTAGCCTACTTACTCGGCAAGTTGACCAAGTTGAGTTTCTTAAGAGATTGATGTTGCCTGTTTAGAAAAAAGCGGATTCAAACCACTGACACAAGGATTTTCAGTCCTTTGCTCTAACCAACTGAGCTCTCTACAAATCAAAAGGTTGTTGCAAGCCCTCTTCCACCTTGAACCGACATGGGGCAAAACAGCCTCTTCCTCAAACAAATCCCCGACTGCGGCCGCGTGCGATGGGGATCGATTTCATATCGCAAAATGATGTGACGGGGATCGTTTAATACGATCAAAGTGACAGAAGAATGACCATCATCCCTGTCGATGCAAACAGGATTATCAATGACAAGAAAGAGCAGCAAGCACTCAATGTATACAAATGGATATCGCGTTTATGATGAAGAGTATCTTGGCTGTGATGGCGTCGGTGATGCCTTGACGACTTCCTTCTCTGAATGCAGGCACCGATACAATGTAGCCCACCCCCGAATATCAATGCGATTATTCCTATTATCACAGATGCTGTCTCACGGCGCTCAACATGGGCCATATTGGACCTGCATGACTCACAAGATTGCCAACCAAAAGACAGTTCCAATAGAAAAAAGAAGACCAATCAGCAGTCTCATCAAGTCAATTCTTTCAATTCATTACAGGGAGACCTTCAGGATCTCCCACATTTTTCAAGCATCTCCAGAATTGCAACAAACACTATGAACGGCATGAGGAAGGACATCCATCAGCTGTGTACCGATCAGTTGCCCCTGCTGGACTCGCCATTGGATTCAATCGGAGCACTGCTGCACACACGAGCAATTACGAATTCGGGCCCATGTCCTTCAGGACCTGTCAAAATTGGGAACAATTCATAGAAGATTAGCATGGCCCCTGCACTGCACAAGGATGACACGCATAAATCGAGAAATGATCCAACTTTCAGGCCCTGAATATGTTTTTTCTTTTTCTTTTCACTAAAATACGTTTTAAAGAAGGCATGAAAAGAATACCCGTCCCACTGATTGGTTCCGAGAGGAGGTATGCCCTAGCGGGACAGACCAGTTTTCCTCGGGCAGGAGGGGGCCAGTGAAAGTTTTCAACTGTTCATGGGCGAAATTGTGAGAGCTGCATGTAAAAGAGATGATAAGCCTTCCCAGACCTTTGGATGACGTGTGGAGTTTTTAGGTGAGCAATTTTCTTTCCTTTGGAGTCCAGTGTTGCACACCCCGACGCGGCGACGGCCCTTAACTGGTCAGATGCCGACCAGCCGACCGGTCAGCTGGTCAGCGCCTACCGGTCGGGGGGTAAACCGTAGGCAGAGAGAGAGAAGAGGACAACAAACGAGGGGCTGTGTATATATATATACAGCCCCTCGTTTGTTATCCTCTTCTCTCTCTCTGCCTACGGTTTTACCGGGCAGTTCTGTTTGTAACGATAGATATATATATATATACACAGGGTCACCATCCTGTACGTACGGAGGTCCCCGGGCCGACCTCCGTACATACGGGCGTTCGGGGTCTGAACCCGAAGACGTTCAGCCCCCGCCAAAAAATATTTCGGGGGCTAAAAATAAGTTTTTTTTTCTGAAGTTCTTTTTGTGTGTTCTTTATGATGTGAGGTACATGTCTATCAATTTTGAAGTCATTTGGCTGAGCCGAACAAAAATGAAAAAGCGCCAAAGATGGCGGTGTCAAAACGTGATCGCCCACTCACTATTTTGTATTTTTTTTCACTTCTTACTTTTTGTTTCATTTTCTTGCGGGGCCTAAACAATTTTATTATTTTTTGAAATTTTTTAATTGAGTTTTGCAGTATGTGAAGTACACATCTGTAAAGTTTCATGGCATTTGGCTGTGCCAAAAAAACAAAATGAAACATCGCCAAAGATGGCGGTGTCAAAAACATGCTCGCTCACTCACTAATTAGCTGAGTGGGGATCCGGGCCGCCCGGGTGACCAGCAGGGGCCCGGGGGAGGTCCCGGGCAGCCTGGCCGGGCAGGGCACCCGGTTGGGGGCCGGGCCCCCCCAGCGCACTCACCTGTCCGGGGATTTCAGACCCCCGTTGTGTGTGTGTGTGTGTGTGTGTGTGTGTGTGTGTGTGTGTGTGTGTGTGTGTGTGTGTGTGTGTGAGAGAGAGAGAGAGAGATGTGTTCGAATCATACTT